CTCAATCCAAACTAGTTGCCGGATGTGGAGAAAACAGAATGCTCTACAGACAAGCACATACCATATTTGTCTGATCAGTGCAGAAAGTTGATCAAACAACATGGTCACTGAGACAGGTTAAACTTCTTTCATATGTGCACAAGTATAACTATCACAATGGCAACAGTCATGTTTTAGACATTAGAACATCTAAGAAAGTAATCTTTTGTCAATAAAACCTCTTTTTGATTGAAATTTTTGTTCTGAAAGCAGAAACCTCCTTTGTTCAAAATCCCTTTTACGCACTAAGCAAAATAATGAATAGATTGAGATAAAACTGACCAACCTTAATGCCCAGGAAACTACTAAAGAAAATACAAGCATGGTTATGATGTTGTAATGTGTTAGCTTTATGTGTTATTCAATTCAAAGGAATAACTTAAGAGAAGAACAATAACTTATGGTCACCTCAAAATAATTCAGAGATTACTCTTTCATTACTTCTTTTGCAAATCGCTTTAGATTATCAAATGATATCAGACAAAAGTTATACTGCAAAGACAGAAAGACAATTATTAGCAAAAGTTCATTTGATCAAAATGATAAGCTAACTGCAGGATTTTGATTCCACCATCAAATTTTGAGATAATCAATGTTGAATCTATACGTTATGCACACTTAGCTCATCGATCCACCAACTCGAAACTAAAAACAGAAACAAAAGAGAATATTCCAAAAACTTTAGTCCGTATCAAAAGAGCAAGTGGGAAACAAAATCTAGCAATCAAAACATAAATTACATCAATTGGAAAAGATAACAAACTTTTATTACTATATAATGGGATGATTTGCACTTCCCTCTCTAGGTTTAAGTGTGAGAGATTCATGTCCTCCTCCACACCCTCCTTTTGAGTAGGCTTTTTTTAGTAATAGAATAATCGCAGCTCACGTTTAAGTTTGGAGGGTTTAGTTTCCAAAACTAGCTGGATCGGCTATATGAATCCTTTGTCTCCATACTCTAAAGACAAACTTAGTATTACAAACATACATCAACGTCAACCAATCCGCTTTAAACAAAACTACATAGACATCAACGTATAACAAAAATACATAGACATCAACCAAAATACCACATTCGATCATGATCTCCATCGTGTTTACGTAACGTATCCCGATATAAAAATTACAACTTTTCATTTACCTTGAGCAGATGTACATTTTACCATCACTTCACTGCCTTTCTGAATCCCAAAGAAATCAACTATCTTCTTTTGTGAAAAACCTAAAAACCCATAAAAACGAAAGTAAACAAATAATCCATTTTATCACTTGCTTGATCACACAGTTGCACTTATACATGATACATCAAAAACAGAATCATGCATACAAACACATTATTTATTTGATTCAGTTTTTTAAAAATCATCTTTTTACTTTTGTTTTTGTTTTTTCGGTTCGTACTTTTGATTGTGCGATTTTGATCACCAGAGCAATGAGGACAATGCCAGGGTCCAATTGGAACGCGAACTACAATAGGCCGAAGGCATAACATATGAAACCCTTTGTTACATTTGTCACACAGTAACAGCTCCTCCGGCCTTTCCCCTGAGCCACATTGCTCGCACACAACATCCTCGCCGTCGTTGCCATCGTCTTCGCTGTCGTCGTCCGGCGGCAACTCCACGCGCTTCGCCACTCTCATGATCTCTTCCATCGACCTGAATTTCTTCGGTGGCGGCGATACCGATAACCTCGGCCGCGGACGACGTCGCCGGCGGTAGCTTTCCGATGAGTCAGCTGAAGGACGGACCTTCCTTTGAGCTATCGGCCTCGGTAACGCCACCGGCGACGCCGAGCTCGGTGGAGCCATTGATAATTAGCGGCGAAATGGGGACACTGCTGGAAATAAATTATTTTTCGAGGGTGAATGGGAATGAGAAACGATAGAGTCGTTAATTTTCAATTTCGAATTTCATTTTTCTGTTTAATTTAAACAGTGTGAGGCCATTTTTTGTTTTCTTTTTATCTTTTGTTGCAGAGAGTGTTGTAAGAAAAGGAGAATCGAAAATGGAAAAGAAGGAAAGAGACGATACCCACCCACCCACGCAAACCACCCCACCCTTAGAACCCCTAGGGGTAGGAGAAGGGTTGCGGGAAATTAGGTGTGACACTGAATGACGTGGCGGGAGGTGATTGATAAGGGCTAATGTGCACCGTCCCAGCGCACGGAATTTAATGTGCGCATTGTGCCGTGTTTCTAGTTTAAAACACTATTTAGCCGTTAAATGGGGCTTTGCTTTAGGCATTAGAAGAAACAACTGGGTAAGACTGACAGTTTTTGACATTTATTTGGGGGCTGAATGTAATTTGAGTAACTTCTGTTGTATTACTTGTGAAGTTCTGAGAAAATTGAACTGCAATGCAAATTGTACATCGAAATTTTGGTCGCATTTAAATTGTGTTATATTTTCTAATTTCTTTTTTCTTTCTTGTTATAGCTTATATGTCCAAGTATATAAAGTTTTGAAATTCATCTTCACTTCATCGTATGATAAAACGGAATAAAGATGAAGGAAAGATGACTAACGCTGCATCTTACATCTCATGAATTTAAGGTAGGAGTCGCATTACGGATATAGATTCGATTCATCTTGCATATATATTGTTAGATTATTTTAAATGTTAGCGAGATTTATTACGTAAAAAAAGAAATTTGACTTCGGATTTTAGTAATACTATTTTTTGGTAAGAAATTTAACTTCTGATTTAAGTAATATACTATTTTTTGCGTAAGTAATTTGATTATTATTTTATTTTTATTTAGCAATACAGATTATGAATTAATTAGTTTTTACTTAGAATCAAATAAAAATCTATTTATGTGGAGAGAAGTCAATAGAAGCAATCATCGATAATAATTTCAATATCCTCCTTCTTAGGTTATAGTATTAACTTGTGTTAATAGTGAAAAATTCTTTTTTATAAAACTAGTTATATGATACGCGTGTTGTGCGTGTATCCCGTCTTAATAAGTACATATTTTCAAAAAAAAATCACATAAATACTATGTTAACTAATTACGTTTGAGTTATTAAATAAGTTTAAGAAAAAAGTGTGAGTTACTGAAAATGATAATTATTGATTATAGTTAGCAACTCAATAATTGAAGAAATGGTAAAAATAGAAGAAGTCCTCAATTATCTTAGTCAATATTTTAAGCAAAATGTGAATTATTATATTTCTTTAATACATAAGAATTATTCTAAAAATTATAAAAAAAACTAAAAAAATTGAGATTTTGGCCGAAATAAAAATGTACTTGTTGAATATGTGAATGTAAAATTTAATTATTAATACAAAAATGTGTGAATGCAAAATTTAACTACTAATATAAATGTGTGAATGTAAAATTCAACTACTATAAAAAAAAAAATTGCTCGAAGAATAACCCGAAAGTCCTTAATTTATAGTTGTTGCTCGAACAAGGCAAAGTTTTGATGATGAAAACGTAGAATTGTAGCTCTTTTATAAAAAAAAAAATTGTATATAATTTGAACACTTCAACTTGATAGAATAAATACTAATAAACACATTTGACCATTGACCAAATTTATGTGAAAGTGGCACAACTGAAATGGCTAAATTGTGTGCAAATCACGCTGCCAAGGCGCATGAACAGTTTTATTTTTATTAAAAAAATATTAGAAATAGAATAAAATATAAATAAGAAAGAAAAAAAGACCTTTCTCTTTCCCCTTATCTTTTCCCCTCCCCTCCCACCTCTCTCATCTTCCCAAGCGAACTCCTCCATTCTGTAATTTTTTTTCATTTTCTACCATTCATGTAAAGTATTGCACAAGGGCTGGAAGCATTGCACATTTGATCAATCATTCATGTGAAGTATGCAAAATCCTCCTTTATCTATTTCCCTATTCTTTTAATGATTTTATTCTCTTGGGGGTAAATGTTTCTTTCCACATTTTAGCGGGCCCGAATTAGATGGTGAAACCCCGACTCCTGTTGCTGCCAGAGAAACCACCTCTTCGGTTAAAGCAACAGCCAGAGTAGTCGTTTCTTGACTGGAACTCGAAGTCGCAATTTTTGCCTTTGCAAGTGAAATTTCATCTTCAGATTCAGCAAGAAGAGCAATGGTGAAGCCCAGAGGAGCGGACCCACCTTCGGGAACAATAATAGTAGCTAAATAACCATCGTAAAAAGATTCAACATCCATGTCAGTTTTATCTGATTCAACAACAAGAACTGCTTCACCTTTAGCAAGTTTATCCCCTTCAGTTTTGACCCAACTGACAATCTTGCCTTCAGTCATAGTAGAACTGAGTGCAGGCATGAAAATTTCACGGATCTTGGATTCTATTACATGGATTCTACGTAAATGGGTGGCGGTGAAGATGGAAGCACGTCGGAGGGTGAATGGGGTGGTGGGGATGAAGGTGGAGAAAAAAAAAAGAGAAAGAAAAAGAAATTAAAGATTTTAAAGATTAAATTTTTTTCTAATAATATAGGACTCACAAATCCACATGTCATATAATAAAGACCAAATATGTGACATGGCATTCATGTCAGAGCGATTGGCGAACAAGTTCAATAGAAAGTATTTATTAGTATTCATTCCGTCAAGTTGAAGTGTTCAAATGGGGAAAATATAAGTTTATGTATCGGCTTTACAAACCGATACAAGTTTAAGTGGTCAGGAAGCCATTACACCTTTGATATATGATGCAGATTTTAAAAGGCCAAATACATAGACAGATACTGGAACTTGGCACCGATTTTCACGTGGACACGTAAAGTTTGGCTCTTTCCTATCAGGCACGCGAACATCCTCCCATGTATGCCAATTAAGCACAGACTGCTGACTTGTAATATGGCGTGCTTTAAGCAAAAATAGGCGCGTGAAGGTTGATTTTTTTGCTGACGTGGAGGATTCCAATGGTAAAAAAGCGGATTCTTTTTAATCCCTTCCCCTAACCCGAAAATCTATCGTATTTTCCCCCCAAAAAAACCCTAGGTCGTCTCTAAAATAGAAGATCAAAGATCTAAGCTAAAATTTCTCAATATCTTTCTCTTATTTCATACCAGTAACTGAAGCCTCGAACAAGTAAATGATTTTCTTCTATTTCTTTTTTCCTTTTCTCTTTATTGGCAGTGGATTTTCTTCTATTTTTTCTTTCTTTTTTCTTTAGTGACTCGATGTAATTGGCAGTGAATTCGTCTGGTTCTATTCACAAAAGACAATGAATTCGCTAAATGGACCGATTATTTGTCACTGTAGGATCAATGCTCTATTGAAAACATCATGGTCAGAGAGAAACTGAGGTCGTCGATTTTATCGCTGCAGAATTGATGAAGTAAGCACATGAATTTATCGTCGTTGTTAAATTGTTCTTATTAGTTGCTAATTTTACAAATTGTATCTTTTTTTGGTCTATTTTTTGCAGGAGAAAGGTGGATGCAAATTTTTTATGTGGTATGAACCTCAATTTCCAGTTCAAGCTACAAGGGTGATAAGGGGGTTGTTGAAGAAGGTCAAAAAGAATGATGCAACTGAACTTAATGCTAAAAGGTGGAAAAAATATTGCTTGGTGTTAGTTATGATATTTATATTGTGGGTTTGGAATGGTATTACTGGTTGATCGTATTAGTAACAACACACTGTATTTATTATGCTCGTCCGCCTTATTTTGCTGAAGAAGAAGTACAAAAGAACAAGCATGAACTTTGTAATAGTACTAAAACTATCTCTACTGATGTTTGCACTTACCTAGCAAGTATGGGCAGTAGTAATGCCCTAAAGATTATGTCCTCCTCTTGTAATTTGTTTTAAGAAATATAAGTATCGTACTTTTATGTTAAAAAAACACATTGTATTAGGTATCACTGGTTGTAATTGGGACATAAATTGTACCCAAATTTTGGACTATGTATTCAATCAATGATAATGGTATTTTGGGGTGTACTTTACATTGCTTATACTATTTTTGACTGCTGCAAGAATTGCATAGATGATATTGATAAATGATGCCAACACAAGACCATCGTATAATATTGGCCAAATGAAAACTTATATATATATATATNAAAGCACAGGCTGTCCTTGAAGCCAATATAAAAACTAAACCAAAGGCTAATCATGTATCCACCAATACAATACCACAAGGTCATACCAAAATAAAGTTGTTTTTCAAGAAGTCATTACTACATGTCCAAATAATTAACTAAATAAGTACCTAAACCATATTAAACAATGAAGTCACTTGGTTCCACTCCTTTGGCTTGACAGAAAAGATGAGGATGTGCCTTCTTGACTGGAAGTCTTTGTGTTCCTTGATGTACTCATCCGTTAGAGTTGGTGTCATGACCCAAAATCCACTAAGGGTCGCGATGGCGCCGGACACCCTGTTAGGCAAGCCAACCATCAATACTTAATTAAAATTCTCGTTTTGAAAATTTTGAAATCATGATTTTTCTTGAATTTAAGAGTAAAAGATGGACTTTACAGAATAAAAAATAATATTTTTAACAATTTCAATACTGAATAACCCATAATCATCCTAAAATCCGGTGTCACAAGTGCATGAGCAGTTTCTAAGAAATAATGTAAAATAATGACTGTCCGGAATATAAATTGGACAGAGAAGAAAATACAGTACAGTACTCTGAAAGAGACTTTGTTGGCTGCGGGTCGTCTCGAGAGGTGCAGCTCACCTAAGTCTCCGTATCAATCATGCCGCTACACCCGACTAGGCTACTAGACATACATGTGCATGTGCAACAAAAATGCACAGCAAGTGTTGTATGAGTACAAAAACAACGTGTACCCAGTAAGTATCCCGTCCAACCTCGAAGAAGTAGTGACGAGAGGTCGAATTTGACACTTACTAGTGGTCCAATAATAATGTATTAATAATGTGAATAATCATGGATTTATTAGAAACGACAGTAAACTCAAGTAAATCAAGAAAACAAGTAAACAATCCTTTTTATATTAGGAAGTCTCCAAATTCATATTCCATTGTTTATCAATTTATCTCGGACCAGGGAGGCAATATTATTTTTTGTAAATCTCAAGCAAGAATTACAAGCATGCGCAAATCATGCCAAGATCATACGGCCCGATCCAACATAAATGTAAAATGTGCACTGCCGAGGGTCGAACGGCGTGAACCATAGATGCATCTATTACCCCACTCGCGAATCATACATGCGACACGGTCAAATATAAATAATTAAGTTACCCCGCTCGCGAATCATACATGCGACGCAGGTACTTATAGATACACATTTTCAAACAATCAATTAAAAATTCATCAGGAAACATTTATCCAAGCAAAAGCCAATTCTCTTTTAACGATTTAAGAAAATGAAGTTTAATCCCTTTTAAAAAAAAAATTCTTTTACTAATTCGATATGATTTAAGTAATTTAAGTTGTCAATAAGATTATACATAGTTTAGGTATAACATGCTTTTGGGTCCTAGACTACCCGGACTTAAGCACAATAGTAGCTACGCATGGACTCTCGTCACCTTGTGCGTACGTAGCCCCCCCAAATAGAAGCACATAACCAATTATTTTACCTATGGGGACAATTCCCTCTTACAAGGTTAGAAAGGAGACTTACCTTGCTTCGAAGTTCCATAGTCGGCTCCCAAGCCTTTCAAACAACTCGACCGATGCCCAACGCTCCAAAACTCACTTTTGCTTTATTAACATTCACAAGCTTTAAATCCTCCTCCGACATTGTAACATTGAGTAAAATGCTCATACGCCACCAACAAATTGATATCTACAATTACAATCAAAATATGACTCAAAAATATTTATCAATATCCATCTATGGCTCACAAGTTGGCTACAAGCCTTCGGCTCAAATCGTCTAATTAATTCTAGCACACTCTACTCTTATTATTTAATACCTATTTGAAGTCATCAACAATACTACATTAATTCTCCAACACCGCCAAATTACTATTCATTGTTTTCCTTAACCAACATTTCCAAAACATTCAATTTAGTGATTACTTAGTTGAAAACTTCCAACTAAGCTAGAAAATGATTCTATAAGTTCATTGCATCCTTTAATTTCATTTCTAATAACACTATTTATCTTTCCCTAATTTTCTCAAGAACACTATTCATGCTATGAACTAGGGATTATGAAATCAATTATCCGACCATAACAACTTGAAACAAATATTAGAATTACTCTCACCGACTTATAAAAAATGAGCTTGAAGCATTAAAATTACCTTCTTGAAGTTTTTCCTTAAAAATCCAATGTTTGGAAAATTTGGTGTTCTTGAACAACTTGAAAGATTTCTATGGATTTCAAAGAATGAATGATGTTAATACTAGTGTTAATAGGATGTTATTAACTTAAAAATATCCACACAAAAAAAAACTCACCTTGTATTCTTAAGTAGTCCCCAAGGTCGAATCCACCATGAAAGAACCAATCCCTAGCTCAAGAAAGCCCCCAAAAATGACTGCTGCTCGACTGCCTTATATAGGCACAAGTGCTTCAGCGAGGTGTGCCTTGCGTTGTGTAGGTTGTACCTCATATTACAAGTTTTTCGCTGCTGGACACCTTTTACTAAAACGTCCATAACTCCTTGTAGAAATATAAAAATAATGTACGGTTTAAAGAATTAGAAACTAGACTCGAAGTTCTTTTATTTGATAGGTTGTCCACTATATAAATCCTTATACATTTTGAGATATAAGCTTCCAAAATTGGCTCCACGCATCAAAAATTTCTGGCGAAACTGCTTTACCAGCCTTTATTTAATCGATCATAACTTTCTGTACAAATATCCAAATGATAAATGGTTTATCTTTCTGGAAACTAGAATGCAAGCGATATAACTTTTATGTTTTATAAATTTTCAGATTCCTTATAGAATGCAAGATATGAGCTCCCAAATTTAGCTCTACGATTGCACCAATGCTGTCCAAAAACAACTTCTGCAGCAGAAAAATGCAGCAGCTCCTATTGTCTGAAATCCATTCCGTTAACCTTCCGAAATCCACCCGAGGCCCTCGGAACCTTAACCAATTATACCAACATATCCCAAAATACAATACAAACTTAATCGAGGCTTCAAACCACTCCAAACAACTTCAAAATTATGAATCGCGCATCGAATCAAATTATGAGTTTTCAAATCTTCCAACTTTTATAGTTTGCACCGAAACATATCAAATCAATTCGGAATGACTTCAAATTTTGCACACAAGTTACATTCGACATTACGGACCTACTCCAACTTCCAGAATCGGAATCCGACCCCTATATCAAAAAGTCCACTCTCGGTCAAACTTCTCAAAAACCTTCAAATTTCTAACTTTCGCCAAATGACTCCAAAATGACCTACAGACCTCCAAATCCATTTCTGATTAAAGCTCCCAATACCAGAATCACTACACGGAGCTATTCCCAGACTCGGAATCCCTAACGGACATCGATAGTATTGAAATGCACTTCAACCCAAATTTATGAAATTCTTCTAAAATGCTAACTTTCACAATAAGCGCTGAAACACTCCCGATTCATCCAAAACCCGATCCGAACATACGCTCAAGTCTGAAATTATCATACGAGCCTGCTAGAACCTTTAAATCCCAATTCCAAGGTCGTTTACTCAAAAATTCAATCTTAGTCAATTCTTTCAACTTAAAGCTTCCGAAATGAGAATTCATTTTCCAACTCAACTCCAAACTTTCCGGAATTTGATTTCGACCATGCGTATAAGTCATAATACTTGAAGTGAAGCTACTCATAGCCTCAAACTGCCGAACGACACGCTAAAGCTCAAAACGACCGGTCAGGTCGTTACAGTTGGTTAGTTGTTACTGCTTGTCTGCCTTTCCGTTTTAGACCAGGCGGCTTAAATCCAATATCTATATTGGTTTCAGTTGTATTCTTCAGAGGTCTCCCATGTGATATCACTCTTTTAGATGGATTGCCTAGCTAAAAAATATTAATCACAGTTAATATGAAATATAAAATAACATTTGCTTCAAATAATTATTGCTTACATTCAAAATTGTTGTTCCACTCACAGTGTTTGTATATACCCCAAATTCTGCAGGTCTTGGCCTATTTTGTCCAATGTTAGAGGATGTACCTTCTTGACTGGTTTCAGATCCTAGAAGCAACTGTTGCAATGCTCCCTTTCTTAAGCCAATATCTCTCCCTCTTCCCCTTCCTACACTAGTGTTGGATTCCATCTAGTGACATCAGTTGTATCATCACAAATTGAAGATTGAGCAGGCTATCTTTGCTGTCTTGGCTGAGTTGGCTGATTTGGCTAACTTGGTTGCCCCATAGTAGGTTGCAATGTTAACACCAAATAAATGATTGAGTATTAAATTATAAAATACTATTAAACTTAATTGGATAACAGATTACCTCTGTTTTGCAGGCTCTCTTATTGTGCCCTACTTGATGACATTATGAACATGTCATTTTCACCCCTTTCTTGGATATTTTGCCATACTTTGCTTTTTTGGGCTCATACTTTACCTTTCTCTTACATATTTTTGGTCTACCTGACATTGAGTTTGGCTCTGGAGACTCAATAACTGGATTGTTAGATTCTGGCCACATCTTCATATTGGGCATGGGTTGAAGATAATACTTGTAAGCCTTTAGGAATATTTCTTTTCTATACCAAAATTTGACATGTTGTTCTGGATCTTGTTCTAAGTGATAGTATGAACAAAGAGCATGTCGACATGGTATTCCCCTCAACATCCATGATCTACAAATGCAAGTCTTTGCCACCAGATTAACAATAAACCTCTTATCACCTTCTTCAATCTCAAAACTATCTTGTCCATTAAACCTTACTTTACATCTCCTAGACAATTCCTTGTTCTCCTCTAATATCATCCTTGCCATTGGTGAAATGTCGCTTATCCAAATCTCAACAAACTTTCTCATG